AATTTATTAAATTTACTACAAAAACGGTGCAAGTCTTAAGCGTTCAACAATTTTTACGTAAATGCACATCGATTTGAACACGTATCTCATTAAAATTCGCAATTCCAAACCAGATTTACCGGCACTTGCAAATTAAGCGGCAAATTGCGACTTCTGTAATTCCCGAATCTGATTCTGCGTGTCATCGTCGCGCCGGGAGAAATCCTTCCAAAGATCCTATAGCAACCGTTTACGATCAAGCCGGAATCCAACGGATTCAAAAGGAGGAAGCTGTCGGCGAGCGAGACTAAGCGCTTACTCGCAGGGGTATACCTTCAGGTTTTTTAAGGGCAATAAAAATGCTCGACGAACAGGTATACACGTACATATATACAAGCGCCGAACGAAACGAAAAAGAGAAAACAAGAAGAAAAAGTGCAAAGCGGTGAAGTCAACAGGCAGAGAAGACATGATCTCGCAGCGTTTTTGAAAACTACCGCGAATCGACAACCTAATGTCTCGGAATAAGAAATGAAATCGGGGGTACAATTTCAACGACTTACTTTTTATAATAGCATAAAAAATACAAATTATCCATATTACTGCATTCTTTTTTTCAGAAATAAATATAAAAACTATTTAATGATCAACGTGAGCCCTCGGAGCTCTCTGCAGCTTATCGCGATTACACCGGTTCTAATGCTTGGCGAAGGATGTTGACGTTTCGCGCTGCGCTTCAATTTTTACTCCATTTCTCGTCTGCGCAATTTTCCTCGGTACGTTAACGTTATAATCGATAGGCGCAAAGATCGTAAAGTTAGAAGCGTAGGGAGAAGATAGTTTTTAGTGATTTCTTGCTCTTATTCACCGATAATTCCCGATGAAAAGATAAAATACGCAAACAAGAAGGCGAGCAACAAAAAGTAGTAAGACGAGGAAGTACAGGTTAGAACGTATACAGAATGTCTTAGAATTATCGACTCTCTCTCTCTTTCGTTCTCTCAATTTTAACTGTAATTTTTATGTGTATCAATCTTTTTTCTTATCAAATGTTTTATAGAATGCGATTATTAGTCATAAATTTTTAATAATCGAATTTATATCTTAAAATCGTTAAAATATTATTTGGAATTTTGTAAAAAATATATATAAATAAAGTTAAAATAAAATTATATTACAAAAAGAGAAGCTTCAATTATTTACATTTTCTAAAAAACACAAAGTAAAACTTTTTCATTTTCTAATGCTAAATAACTATGCAGTATAATAAAATTTATTTTTTAATTATTCTTTGACATATGTAACAATATTTACATTGGTTCTATGCTTAGAAAATACCGTGCACGCAGCTAACTGAAACTGTCGTAGAAATATCGCGCATTTATCGTCTCCTTGCGCTCTAATCTCTCTTATTTATTGCCCTCTTCCTCCTTCAGCCTCCTCTTTCCGCGTGCGCACTCCGCGCTAACAAGGAAATGATGTAAATATAGGTATACGCATAAGAGCGGGCGTACGCAACGTGCTCCATGCATGCCTTCCTGCTGCACTTCCCTGCATCTGCACGTGGGTGGTAATCAACCCGTTCGTCTCACCAGTCCCATTGTAACGAACGGCGGCTTCTTGCGTTCGCCGTTAATTAAGATCCATTTCCGCGAGAGCCACGAGATAACTGACCATTATCCCCCTTCGCTGCTCGATTAATGGCTAACACGGCGGAACCGCTTCGCGGATTCGGATTTATTGCATTTTCACGGCAGAGATTGAAGTCGGTATAATTACAGTGAGTATAAATTTCAATGATACACACGCAAATAATCAATATGTCATTACAACAGAAATGCAATATAGAAAAAAGATGTACTTTTTGGCTCTTTTTCATATTTCTTATAATTTTTTCAAAAATCATTTTAATCTCTGTCTCTACTATGGTGCAGTCACTTGAAAATTATTTATTCAATATAACTCAAATAGATAGTAAAAAGAAAGAATTGTTCATTATTTTAATATAAAATTTTACAAAATTTAATTATCAAATTATTAAATTAAGTCACTTGAAATTTTCTACAGACTACATTTAAAAAAACAGTCAGATTTTATGTAAAGATTTTTCATCAAAAAGAGAAAAATAATTAAAAGTAATTGTCAAAAATTATAATAAATTACTTGATCTTAATCGCTTACATATATTTTATTACAGTATCAATCCTATAAAAAGTATAGGAATGGAGGGCGGATGTGAGCGTATGGTAACCCAGAAGCAATGAATGGAACGTACACTTCAGGTGGATCTTATAACAAACGTGAGAACTCACGTAAGTCGAAGGACAATCTACTCGGCCGACCACAATAATTGATCGTGCAAAAAACAGTATATCTGCATATAGTAATCCGATTTTCAAAAAGCATCTAACGATTCACAGACTAAGTGTGGCGAATCAAGTAGTCAAACGATTAAAGATGAGATTATCGCACAAACCGAGATTATAACACTATTCCTTCGCAGTCCGACAATTTGTAAAATAAGAAGCAACATCTGCAGATAAATTAAATACAGAAATCTTCAATAAATTATAGCATATTAACGGAACATTTGACTCGGTGATAAAAAATTAAAAAAAGAATTTCCAACCGCGTGAAAGCATAAGTCGATTTAATAACGCTTCTGTTTCAAAAAGATCTATTCCAAAGAAGATTCGAGAGGATAAAAATGGAAAAGGATGAAACGCGAGGACGATTGTATCGCGCGCTCTCAGTTAGATGGTAGAAAAGAAAGGCTAAGAGCGATTTTCTTCCTTTCTTTCTAGCCTGTTAACAACGAAATAAAATCCTAAGTAGCCGCTGGCTGAAAGAAAAGCACGCGAAAAAGAGCTGAAAGCGTTTTTCTCTTCGAAGCTATTTGGATGAAGAATGTTCACTGCAAAATGAAAAGTGGCAGCGTGATATCTGTTACTTTCTTAAGTGCGAAAAAGCATAGCGCATCTCGAGCAGAATAAATTAAAACGCATGAACGTAATTGTGCCGTTCTTGGAAAGAAAGACAAGTGGGATTACCGTCTGTACTTACTGTCGCCTCAGCATCATCCTGACGGCGTTTGAAATAATGTAAAAGTAACGTAAAACGTAAAACGCGGCTCGCAGGAGATAAAGAACGGTCTGAAATGACGCGGTAAACTAACTCATTCAAGCATCGCGGGTATTTCGCTCGCGAGCCGGCGCGGAAAAATTGCATGGAAATTTCACGGAATAATTCACGCGCGACTGGTAACGAAGTTCTACCGCTTCTCACAGCTGCCGCAAGAAGCCTCCGAAGCAAAAAAAAAGTCTGATTATTGTGTCCCTCTTAATTTCCCAAAAGCGATGAAAAAGTAAAATTATAGCAATGAGCATAAATTGCGGGCTGTCATCGACCGGCGTTTAGTCGCGATAAACCGTGAGAGCAGATAAAGCGTAATGCCGCCGCGGATTACGTCCGGCGAAATAAAATGGTGTCGACGAGAGAATCGTCCGCCGGCTCTGAATGAGAAAGCCGTTCGATGTACTTGCCCCGTTTCCTTCCCCCGTCCCCGCTATTCGCATCGCCGCGCGAAGCGAACGAGTGTACCGGGAGGCAGGATAATGCTGGGACCGTGTATATCGCAGAATGGACGGAAGAGCGTGACGAAGCTAGAGTGGGGAAACAAAAAAAAACGAGAAAAAGGAGGTACAACTAATTCGCGAGCCCTCCCAGGTGCTGGCTTTTTTGCCAGACCCATTCGCGTTCATCCTCGCGTTCGTTCTGCCACCGAATCCGTATAAGGAGGGGCTGAGGACGAGTGGATGAGCGCGGAAGGACGCAGGGAAAAGGACCACAGTTCTGAATAAACCGATCAAATCGCTGATCAAATGAAGAGATTTTATGGAAGACCCTCCGAGCGAAATTTAAGCTTCGGATCTACGACGATAGGCGCAAAACGCAGTCACCGTGAAAAAAAAACTGGATCGAACCATATGGCCGTCCATTTTTGCATCGTTAACAGCAACAAACGGCGGCTCGCTCGTGACGATATCGAGAAGCGAGGATAAACAATTGGCCACTGTACGCCATAAACGGCGATTTACGAGTAACATAAGTGCGCGAACGCTTTCGACCTCCCGTCGGCGATCATCCTAATGATCACGCACCAAGCATATAAACGTCATACGTGCTAACTGTACAATGCCTATATCGAGGTGCATTTATTGAGAGCAACGTCGATAATAGACGCACACATAACTGTTCATAGTTACGATTCTCGTAACGATTTCTTTTTGTATGTATTCCACGTTTCAGTGATTAGCGCGCGCGGTTTTTTTTTTGCACAAAATCATGTAACAATTTTCACGGTAGAACAAACCTTTATACGCAATTATCAGCTATAATGTTTGTATCGGCGTTCGTAATAGATAGCACCGTTCGATCGATCGAAGTAAGCGTGACTAGGCAGAGCCGCCGGCGTTATTTAATCCTCCGCAGGTAGAGACGGATAGATAGCGCATAGAAAAAAAAGATGAAATGGTACTCGGGAGGGACGCGATCGTTAATATGCATTTTCACGTTACATTAAATCCTGAAAGAACTACCACGATGTGCCGCGGTAACACGTGTCACACGTGTCATGCGTGACTAATCGCATTCTATGGAGATTTCTATGATAAAAACCACCTGCCACAAAGAGATTTGAGAGAAAGAGAGAGAAAAATCGTAAGTTAATTTAAAACTGTGATCGGTTATCTCACGCGTAACGATTGTAAGATAATATCGTAACAACCAATAAGATAAATATCGGATAATTAAAGTTACATATATATGCATTACGATAAGTAAATACAAACAAATCTTGTTACTAAAGTAAAATTTCAATTAAATTTTAATGCAGTTAACGTCAATTTTATCTTGATTTAAATTCTTTAGTACAACGGAATGAAGAGTAAGAATAATTCGCTTTTCATATAAGAACGTAAAGAGAAGTAAAGCGGAAAGGAAAAAAAAAAAGAAACACTCACCCAGCCACCGGCGTCATCTTCAACGCCAATGCTCGACTGATGCAGAATCCGGCGCCGCCCGTGGCGAACCAAAATTTCACCTTTTGCTGAAACACGCAGAAGAGAAAACGGGCGTTAGTGAGAGGTTCAGCGGAGAGGTCGGCTAGAAATCGCGGGAGCCGCCGTCGTAATTATACGATACATCGATCCGAGATCGGACCGAATGATCGATCGTCGTCGGCGCGCACCGACCGCGTTCGACGGCCGTTATTAACCGATTAAGGATGAATGACTCGCTTGATGAGAATTAGGGACCGGGGATAGATTACATCTTGACGTATCGTCGGATGTCACGCTACCACGGGGAAACAAATTACGACGAAGCCATGATATTTCGGCGAGGCTACGTCGTCGTCGTCCCGCCGCGGCCGGGACTCGGTTCCCGGCTTTCGCTTCGAGAGACATTCACGGAATTGTCTACGACTTCATCAGCCGAGCAATCGAACGACCAACGTATATACGATCCAATTAGCAATTATAATTATATAAAGAAATAAATGACAGTGTGTTTGTTTGCTGGATACAGTGACGTATAATAAATGACGAATTAAAAAACGTACGGCGTTCAAGTAAGGTATCCGCTGCCGATTGGTCTTTTTCTCTGACCTGGAAACTTTGCTCCAGGAAACGTTCTCTTGTACACGATGGACGTATAAACATGCGCTAGCTCGCACATATACACGCACACACATATAGGTGCGCGCGAATGCGAAAATATTGTACAACGGTCTGAGGTACGAGCGATTTCTGGCCGATTGCCGTGGCTGCAGGCTATTAAAGCCGGACTCCTAGGCGGTCTAAGCGCAATCCATGCTGACCGATACTATCTCAATACCGGTATAGAACCGTAGAATCGTGCGGTGCGCCTTTTCTTGACGAAGGTGTGGTACACGAGCGTGGTCCACGAGCCAACGGCCGCACACGTGCATACGCAACGCGTCCGCTGATAAAACTTGTCACGAGTTTTTGCTCGTCTTCTGCGTGCCCGATGATCGTCGGCGTTTATGATAGCTCGCCATGCATAAAGAAACTATTTAACGGAAAACGTTATCAAAGCAGATCGCGCGATGCGAATCAGAGTCATATGCTAAATTTACTTAATTAAACGCAAAAAAGGACGAGATCAATACCAGGTGCCGATAGCTCTATCATGCAGATTCCGTTAAGGCTTACTTTCATACTTTCAAATGTTTGGATTCGACACGTACTTGTGAAAAAGTCAAATCGGCTTAAAAAAATCTGTCATTTGTTATCGGCTCGTTTATTCAGAAATGTCCAGAACAGAAAAATCTTCTTACACAGCTTGTCCGATTTGCCTTATTTTTAATATAGATCCAAAATACCGTACGCTATACTTCGAGCTCGAAAAAATCTGTATCCGCAACTATTTGAGATAATCTACAATCGATGTTATCTCGGTACCGAACATGAAGCCGGTGTGCTCCTTTCCTCATGACTGGGTGTGGTGGAGCACGGATGGCAGCAGAACGGCCACCACGGACATATCGTACGGGCGCACGTACGTATACCTCGCGATATATCCCTAAGGTCAGCTGACAAGACGATCGGCGTTACCGTTATCCATGTACGTCCCGCATACCTACGCCCAAGACGAAAGAGAGAGAGAGAGAGAGAGAGAGAGAGAGAGAGAGAGAGCGCATATAATGGTATAATCGCCCTCTTGCACTTTGGAGGATCTATAATTTCGTTCCGCTGTGCAAGTAATAAGATGGCTAGTAAAGGCCTACCGGGCCGAATGACATGGCAGAAATTGCGACGATAATATCGCGCCTTGCCGCGCCTCGCGATTTGCGCATCGCTACGATTTGCACATCGCTACGATTTGCACATCGCTGCGATTTGCGTGGCTCGTTTCGCCCCGATATATTGCTCCCTTCCACGGTTCCGATTGATAATGATGTTCTTTAGCAACGTCCTGGGATCACTGACCTCATTTTAATGACAGATTTCAATCAATCGATCGATCTTTCCCCTATATACAAGTATCAATATATTTTCTACGATAAAATTTTTAATCTCGTTAATAGTTTGCAAGTTATAATTAATTTCAAGCAAACTGTAAGAAGAGAAAGTAGTACGTAGCTTCTGACACGAGACAGTTTCTTCAATATTTTTCGAATTAATTTTAAAAACCTTTTCCTCTTTTGTTAACAAATTTAAAAAGTCCTCATTTCCAGTAGCTTTTATTCGCAGATTAATTTTATACTAGGAACGGCAGTTCTTCATTCGAAAAATGTTGCCTCGTGTCCAAAATTACCTTCTCTCTTCTTCTCTTCTCTTTCCTCTCTTTCCTACGCCCGATATCATTCGTTTTATGAAGGTATCGAGCGACAGATACCAAAAAGAAGAGGAGCAGACAGGACCTCACTGATGCATTAGATATACACGCGCGATAGTGGTAGCCCGAGATAGTATCGGAACGCTTTTACAAGAAGGAAGCTTATTCTTTATTTCTCTCTTTCGAGTCCATTTGAATAACACAACATCGTGTTGCGAGCGTGCGGAGTCACGGAGGGAAGCCACCGGCGCGACCCGGGACGCGAGAATTCCGAGATCGCCCGCGAACCCGTTCTTATTGTTACGGGGGGGGAACGTGCGCGAAGTACGGGGGACGACAGCGGGATCGGTACCGACGATTCCTCGCGAAACGATGTTCAACGCAATCTCTGTCTGCGTCCCCCGCTGTGTACCCTATCGCACGTTCCTTCCATACGAGCTGGGGGCCCCCTCGGGCAGGCGCCATTTCTCAAATTTTTCTTTTCGGCTACCACATGTCAGAGCTCGCGGCTTTTCTCAAGCAATATATCTTCAGGAAATAATTTACGGCTATGTATAGATAATAATTAAACACGTTCTCGTAATTTTCAGAGAAGAAAAGAGGAAGCAGGAAGAGACTTTCCTTCGGAGCGACTTGAACAAATTTTATCTTAATTTTCAATTTTGTAGAATTATGAGAACCGTGTTACTATCGAGCGACAACACAAGTAAAATAACGAAGATGATTCCGATGTATAATAACGCAGAAAAATACCGGATATTCATGTGGGAAGAAAAGCCGGCAGTAGTATCGTAGTACCTATATATTACTCTCAACTTTTCCCTCAATGCCTGCAATACGGATAGCTCCGCCACTGCGCCGCAAGGGCAGCACTTTAGATCCACCTGCTAATGAAAATAGTGTTGTATGATATTTGCTACAGCGAGAAATCCACGAGCGACAAAATACGTATGTACGTGGCTCGGTTGACAGAATTGCGCAGCGCGAGCGAGCGCATTCACTTTCCCGACGTTCAGCATCTACTATGGTATACGCTAAAACGTCTCGCGTAAGTGCAATTCGACGAGAGAGAGAGGCAATCAGTCAGTAATTTTAATTATCGCGCGCGTATTTACGACTGGTAATCGCTCGATCTCGTACGCGGCAATCTCGGGGGCATCGCACAGGCATCACCAGTAACGAAGGGACTTACCGATCGGCGGCCAAGATTGTGCGCCGGTGCCCGTCTGACTAATTACATTCCTAACCCGGGACGGGGGCACGTCGCGGAGGGAATAGCGTACGCGAGAGTAAAGGCCGCACGATTCTATATCCAATTATGTACGGACGATTGGCAGCGGGCCCCGTAGATATATGCTCCGCGACTGTGCAGGATTGGCCTCTCCCCGCGACCTGTTATCGTCATCGGGCGGATAGAAATTATTCGGGATCATGCTTTTCGCTTAATTACCGGCTATCTCTGCTCAACTTCCTCGATCATTTCCGATATATAACCAAGTTTTTCACGTCAAGCATATTACTTTCTTTACCATCGACATGGTGCAATTAATCGGCGGAAGCAGATTAATTCTTGAGGCACGTATAAAAGATAAACTGTTAACCACTATATTCAATACGTAATTGAACAAGAAAAGCAAGAGGAATTTATATCAAGATAACTATTGGGCTTTTAATTTTCTATTCGAAATGTAATCGTACACCCACAGATTAAACTCAACACAACGGAAAAACTCAAAATTTATTTAATGATCATGTTTATCGCAACTCGAACATCAAGAATTTATTATTTTCATGTTAAAAAAAAAAGATGTTCCAACCGCCGATTAATCTAGAACGAGCGGTTCATTCTCGAGGTCGTAAAACTCGAGGCTGAGTGACACGGCGAGTAATATCTGATGGAGGGTACGTATGGCCGCTCGGTATATTAGGACTAATGAACAGATTAGAGGCACCGATATGACCCCACGAACGGCAGATGTGCGAAGCTACGTACTAAGAAATTCGTTGCATCCGTACCGGTGCATGGGAAAAAGAGAAGGGAATTCCAACCCTCATCGTCGATAAAAATGTGAGATACTGCAATATAGAGATAATCGCATTCTTCTCGACTTTCTTTCGGTGATCTCTAATGGATCGAGCGACTGGCAACAATCTCTCTCGCGTTGCGTACATACGCACGCGTATACGTGTACACTCGTGATTAATCGTGTAAGTTTTTCAAAAAATGACGAGATGCAAATCTAATTAAATTACCATGAAACAACGTTCGATCTTTCGGAGAGTCGCGCTTACTTTATCCCGCGCGTTATCTCATTTTGAACGCACCGGCCGCGTTTTGCCCGGTGCCGCAAGACCAATGGCTGTCGATTTGTATGCACAGTCATCCGCACTTCCACATAGATTTATCAACCTGATATTTACAGTCGGCAGGAAGTCGCTCTTGCTCTTGTTTCCAATCCGCTCGAGCGTATCCCGCGGCATACAAAACGCGGCGAGCGCGCTGACAGAGACGCCCGCGCATTGATATATTTCCATAAATTCCTCGCCGAATATATTTTGCAATCTCGAACAATATCATATTTAACCGTAACAAATAAATCTGTTATGCTCTAGAGATAATACCGCTTATTTTTAGTTTCAAGAACGTTTCGTGACTGCCAAATCTCTTTCGCGATGTAACAAATTTATGAAAACTTCAAGATAAAGAGAAATGTCATAGATATATGAGAATAAATGAAACTTTGACTT